GAGTTCCAGTAAACCGTTGCCCCAACAAGCAGTAAACTCCTTAAGTGGACCAACCAGTTCACTTAAGGAGTTTACTGCTTGGTGGGGCAACGGTTTACTGGAACTCCTCAGACTGATGAAGCCCTACGGATAGAGGGCGAAACGCCTATATAAAAAAAAGAGACTGTCCAGATGACCTGACTGAGAATTATTGAAAAAATGAGTAACCTTCCTGCAATGATCGACCCCTGAAGTTATGATGAAATAAGAAGTTTTAGGATCTTATCCAACTCTGACCATATCAACATACGTATATCTAATGTCCTTCACATAAAGTTTATCAGGTTGCTGATCATGGCCTGTGGAATGTTGGCCCACTCCTCTTTAGTGGCTGTGAACTTTATGACTATTGTCAGGAACTGGAGCATGCATGCCGTATACGGTGAGTATACTGGCCATGTAAAAACTGGGATATTTTCAGCTTCCAGGAATTGTGTACAGGTCCTTGCAACGTGGAGCCGTGGCCGTGCATTATCATGCTGCAACATGAGGCGATGGTTGTGGATAAATAGCAAAAACAATGGGCATCAGGATCTCATCACGATATCTCTGTGCATTCAAAATGCCATCAATAAAATACATCTGCGTTCGTTGTCCAAAACATACTCCTGCCCATACGATAACCTCACCGCCACCATGGGCCACTCAATTCACAACACTGACTTCAGCAAACCGCTCCCCCACAATATGCCATACATGCAGTCTGCCATCTGCTCTGCACAGAGAAAATCGGGATTCATCTGTGAAGAGAACACCTCTCCAACATGAACTGAGTTGGAGGTTTAGATGTTAATTTGCTTTTAAATATGTGTGTTGTCTGTCTCTGTGAGGTCTTGTGATGGATGTGATGGTTTCTGGGTGTGACACTTGAGAGAAAAAGACTGTATGTCAGAGTGTCTTTCTATTGTGTTAAACTTTGTACCATCACAGTATTTCAACTGTTTACTTTCCATGAACTTTTGAGTATTTAAACTGTTGTATGGGCTAGACATGTCAAAACATGATAAGAGTGTCTGCCAGCTGGAAGTCCTCTTCAGCTGGCTCAGCTTGGAATGTATAAATAATTGTTTCTGTGTGTGTACTGTATGTCAGAGAGATGTGGCTCATTTTGGAGGGTGACAAGCACTTACTGTAGATGTAAGGGCCATTTTGCTCTTCTTGTAATTTACTTTGAATACATTTAATCCAGACTTCATTACTGGACTCCTGAGGGCTTATTTCTAAGGATTTTTTTCTAACAAGGTGGGTTTAGAGAAACTGATGGATTCATAAAAATTACATTTCAACTGAATGTCAATCAAAGATGAACAAAATTTCAGTCCAAACAAAATGGGAAAGCTGCAGGACAAACCAAACTCTTGTAGACACTGATCTGTCCCTCTTTTTGTTGTAAGTGTTTAAGATGATGAACATCTTTCATTTGGCGATGTGAAATTCTAAGCATCTTTTGTGTTGTGCTGGATGACAACTTTGATACCTTGGTGTGAAAGTGTCTTCAACATCGCTACTGCAATCCAACAGAGAAGCTCAGGTTAAGCCACAAAAAAGGATAAGTGTCTGTGTTCAAGGAAAAACAACTCTGCCCCTGCTACGTTTTGTGTGACCCACTCCTTCCACCTTCTCAGTGCCAACATGCAACCCTTGAGACTTGATAATAGTGAGTTCTGACTTGTCAAAACCTTGGTCGGATTTTACTTATTGAAGATGACTCGTGCACTCTCTTTTTTTGCTTAGCAGCAGCACTTGAGATGTCTAGTAGCCTAAAAAAAGGGGCAAAATGACTATAAAATAACAACAAAAAGACCCTTCATGACCACAATCTAAACCACAAGTTTCAATTGAGCATTTTGCAGCATGCTGAAGAAAGGGTTACCTGCAATACAAGCTGTCATGAAACAAGACACACTTCCAGCGATCAGAGCTCTGAGGCCACAGCTGGAGATATCAGATTGCCTGTTTGGAGCCATGGCAGCTGAAAGAACAGTAATAAATGCAGCAAAACCTTTAAAAGCAACACAAAGATTGCAATGACTCAGACAAAACAACTTATATCATCACAATGATGACTACAATTCAGATTTACAGTTTACTCAGAGCCAACAAAGAAAGTTTAGTATCTTAGTATTTATCTAAAAGTGAGTGTACTTGGGAGCTCATAATAGAAATCTCCCAACTTTAATCAGCAATGGAAAAACTGCCACTGCAGATTTGTCCAACAATGATGTTCCTTTAAAGTTATTTGACAGTTGTGTTTTGGATTTTTGTTGATTGTAAACATTAGTAACGGCTTCTGAAATGACACTCACTCAGAGCTCCCACAGAGATCCCCAGGGACGCAAAGTTGGAAAATCCACACAAGGCATACGTTGCAATGGCTTCTGAGTGAACCTAGGAGACAACTGAAACTTACAAACCACCAGAAATGAGGCAGAACTAAATGACGTGATAAGTATTGAGAAGAATTATGTGAGCAATTAGTTACCATAGTTACTTATTGTCACTGCATCAAATACTGACACAGCTCTGAGCTAATTTTGAACATACATGCACCAAACACTGAATTTACATCCAACTGCTTGTCTGTCCATCCATCCATCCATCCATCCATCCATCCATCCATCCATCCATCCA